GGGTTTACTTAGGAGTCACATCAATGAGAGCTCATATGGGTCACACGACAGGGTTGAACATCAAAGCCGAAAGCCAAGCTCTTTATCGTCAAACGACCAATCCATCACACCAATACTCACTAGTCGTCCTCCGCAGTCTAGACAATGTAACACTGTTATAATTCGCATATCAGTTGCCTTGAAGATTTCGATTTGCAGACCATGCATTTACACGATAAATAAACTCGCCATGGGATGGGCAACAGCTTGTAGCATCTTGTGTCACGTTGACTGAAACTCGAGTATTGCTAGCCTGCGAACACCATAACATCGAAGCGTGGTATTCATAACACTAAGCCCAATCACAATGATCAGTTATCAGCCTAGCAGTCACCAAACACCAACCAACCAATCCTCACCATAGCCAAGCAGATATGTTAGATGTGTCGTGTCAAGGTCGCAGGGATTCCGTGCTTCTATGTGCTGTGGAACGTCACGTGTGTGTGTGTGTGTGTGTCGCATGTCACATGCTGGCAGTCACAGTAACGGAAAGGTGTTCAGGTATACATACCGTGAAACAATCATACTAGTCTTCTACTTCTACTGTGTGGTGTAGTATATGTGCAAAGGCAGCCTACACACACTACACACACACACACACGCACGCTCAGCCGCACGCTTACTCACCCATAACCCATGTATACACTCGCACACACAGGTATGTGTCGGTATGTGTGCATAACGTCACACGCACACTCACATGTGGGCATTGCATTCATACTAACAAACGTACACACACACGCACATGCAGACACATTGCACAACATGTACACACCATTGTCAACGTGAAAATACATTAACACCGGCAAACCGGCAAGCCTGTGTGCAGCTGACACATTGATCAAGTAAGCTGCGCACGTAAAGCTGTAAAGGGCCGAAAAGCTTGGTCGGTTCGATCGGTCAACTTGATCAGCTTGATGGATTGATGGGTTATGTCTGCCCCTGTATGCCGCATGCCCGTATGCCGTCCGACAACAAGCATACATACCATCTCTCCACCAACAACAATTATTTCTGTCAAACTCCTACGATCCTGTGCATTTGGGGAAGTGAGGAGCGAGCAAGGAATTTTGGAATGGTGTTGCATTCGCCAGGCTTGTGGCTGTGGCAGCAGCATTGGTTTACATTTTTTTCCTCTGATGAGTCTGAGGAGGCGCCACGGGACAAGTTTCCGACGTGGGTTCGTGGATCTACAGGTTTTCAGGGTTGCGAACAGTTTCCCTTTCAAGAAGCATTCATTAAGTTTAACGGGGTGCACTTGTAGCCAGGAAGGTGTTGTTGTTGTTGAGCTGTACAAGGAGTGATCGGCTAAGTGTCGATGATTAGTAGATGAATTATAGTTGCCATTGCACTTAATTTCTGTTTACTGGATGCACTAATCAATGCTGATTTCTATGTGTAAATAAGCAATTTATTTACAAATTAACGAAAAAAACAGCATACATAAAATTTATTTTTTCCACTAAATCGACCATTCTGAAGGGAAGTGCCTCCCGGCACAGGTTTGGGTGCCAGGAGGCAGGTTCCCTGCAAAGAAAACTGCGCAGGGAACCAGGCTCTTGGCAGCAGGGAGGCTGGTTCCCGGCACACGGGTGCCAGGAGGCAGCTTCCAGGCAGCATCCTTGCTGCCGGGAGGCTGGTTCCCGGCACACGGGCTTGTGCCAGGAAGCACCTCCCCTCATATTGGGCGTTTTTTGAAAATTTTCACTATTGAATATTGTTGTGTTTTTTCATCAAACAAGTACGTTTTTGTGGTGTCTACTTAAGCAAATCAAGTGATGTTACGACACATGTTTTCGGGGACTAACCGGATTTGTTTCCGTCATAATTTGTTTTCCTTTCAGAATCAGTACAATTGTTTCCGTCCCGCTTGGTCTGAGTCTGGAAGCCTTTTGCTGGCCCACCCTAAGCCTGTCCAAGCTAAAGCTTAACTCCAATCCCTAAACCCCTAACCCTGAACCTTAACCCTGAATCCTAAACTGTTGATACCGTTGTCTCCGTTCTGTACAAAGTGTTGTCGTTTTGAGTTTGTTGTCTTGTTCGAAGTTCATGCAACATATTGATTGGTTTATAGTTTATTGCTGTTTGGGGTCTTCGCTGGTGCAATACATGATATTGTTTAATTCGTAGCCATTGCATTTCATTAACTTCAACTGATATTAATCCAGTTCTTATGTGCTGCATCTAGCATCTGCAGACCAGTAACACCTAGTCGTATACAACATTTTTTTTGTAAACACAATGCAAACACTACAAATTTAATCGTCCGAAGTAGATGTCAGATGCCATGGAAAGCTCGTCGGACTCTGTCAGTCAAGCCTCCTCAACACTGCAGTTTGGGCCATCTGATCTACAGGGCGACCGTGGTGTTGGTGTGTCAATATGCTTTGTGATTGATTTCGATTCTGATGCTGACGATCAGCACGATCGCGTTGCAGGCTCCCATGTTCGGCATGATGATACTGGTTCTGACTCGGATGTCGTCGTGGAAGCCACTGCTCATAGCGAACCTGAAACCATTGCTGCGTCAGATGATTATTGCGAATTCTCGAATTTGCGGGAGGCGCTAGACAATTTTGCTCGGCTGACAGGCATGGACTCACACAGGGGATCCGATCACTCGGAGAACGACATACAGGACGAGGCCGATGATGCTGCAGGTCCGGATCCTTCTTTGCCACCTTCGTCAATCCCATCTTCTAGCAGTGTCGTTAGCAGCGTACATGGCACAGCCTCGGATGCCGACTTGGACCATGCGGAGTCGGACCCAGATGACGTGGATACGAATCATGAGCCAGACACGGCAGACACGGCCACTGAAAGAGCTACTGAAGTATGCCGAGATGGCAGCAGTGTCGTATGTACCGAATGCATTGTGTACGGTCATTGCCCTGAGTGCGGCAGACGGTTGCGCCGTATGCGTGGTCGACTCGACGCAAACCGTGTGTCGTGGAAAAAAGCCTGGGCCCGAGTCCTGAATCATCTGCCACATGCTCACGTAGGTTGCTAGAAATCACGAGCAGCACAAGTCCTGTCACATCATATTGTCACATTGTATCTGTGCCCGGCTGACCTAATTGGTTCTGATTCTAACCCGTTCTAACCCTGCCATTGCTGATGCACTGCTGCCACCTTTGACTAGGCAGACTGTCGTCGAGTTCGACGAAGAAGGACAGGGTGCGGATTTGAGTTATGTCGGATGTCGGCGTGTTGGGCTGCAAGGTTAGACTGCCATACATGTCACACACCTTTCGGTCGTTGCAAAGACTAGTCACATAGATATGTGTTCGGGTTTCACAGTGATGTTGTGGGTCCGGGTTGAGTCCGATTGAGTGGCTGGCCAGTCCGACAGAAACATACCATGTTATCATGACTGATGTCGAGCCCAGAACCAACTCGATCATTGCTTCTAGGTGAATGTTGCTTCACTGATTTGTCGATCCAGGTTTTTGCATTCCGGCTACGAGTCACGAGCGCCAACTGAAGTCACTTGTGTTGCAGGCATTTGGCCCGAACGTTGAATTCGGATTTTGCTATTGCGGCATTGATTCGGAATTGATCGATTGATTGATATGCCATCGACGACGAAGGATACATCGAAGAAGCGACCCAGCTCGCGATCACCGAAGCCGGCAGCTTCTCCTGCAGCAAAATCAGTTGCTGGTGCTCGTGCTCGAGTGAGTTCTCCAGCCAAACCTGGTGTGTGCAGTGCCTCCCGCGACAGTCCCGATAGTCGTGGGTTGCTTGTGTCATCACCACACATAAACAGATTTGTGGCCCCCGTCATGCAGCGCAAAACTCATGAAGTTCGCAATTTCAATTGCAGGATACTCAAGAAGGGCTCCCCGTTCTTTCTTGTGGAACCAGGGTTGCAAGACTCGCGCGGCAAGGGCGTGTGGAAGATTGTTGCACGTGCTACATTCGAAGGAAACACGTTCGTCAAGGACGATGACATGATGTCAGAGGCCAATCGCAATAAACACAGATGCTCACCAGAGGAACTACAAAAGGTGAGAAAAACATGGAAGAATGACAAAGGAGGGTGCGTTCTTTGGGAGGTGAAGGTTGTGACCAAGCTTGTCCCGCCGAAGTACTTGGCGCCCAAAACTGGCGAGGATTGGTTCATTGTGTGATTGATTTACACTGCCTGGTTTGTCGCTACAATAATTCATCACAGGAGTCGGTAAGCCACCTCAGCCCACAGGCCCTTAAGCCATTTCAGTTTGTAAGCCGTAATCACCTGTTCATGTTCATGCATGCTCATGTTTCGACGTGTGGTTCTGCCTAGAATCCTAGAGTTTCATGGGGACCCCTTCTTCAGGAGATTTGGGCCCTGTTCAACATGAGTGATGCCGTTGATGACATCGATCTTGTACATGCATCAGTGCCTGCAAACAATAATGGTGTGGGTTTGGAGTCTGACGATCTGGAACAGGAGCTGGCAACAATCATGACACATGAATATCCTGAGCTTGCGGAGCTTGTGGTTCCGGCTTTGCATCCGACTTGTTTTGCGGACACGCTTGCGTGTTTGGAATCGTCACAGTCGGTGCGATCTTTGTCCACACCATCGGGTGCCACATCAGATGTGCCCGCACGAGCAAGTGGCGTCGAAGGGACTGGGACTTGTGCGAACGTCGCACAGCAGGACCATACATCCACACGGAATCCACACGTAGTGCAGGGTCAGGGTTATGTAGCATCAGTGGCAGTAGCTGCAGCTTGTCTCGTGCATTCGACTCGTGATCAAGTGTTCAAGAGATCATCACATACATATGTCCTTTATTGCACCTGTGCATGTGCCTTGAATTGAGCAGTGTGTCTCCCTCGCTTGCGTTCGAGCACGTGGTTGGCCCGGTATGTGTCGTAGGTTGTAAGTAGCAAAAGTTTAAGCAGCAGCTAACCGGTTCCTCTAGTTGGCGAATTGATAATTCAACAATCATTTTGCGAAGTTTTGCGGCATGAGTCATCATCAGGACCCTCACTTGCCTGAGTTGTCGGCCACGGGCTCAGCTGGCACGGCTGACGGTGCAGGAGCCGATGCGGAGGCCGTTGAACCGGTGACTACCGCTGTGGCCGCGGTAGCTGTGCCGATGCATAGACCAGATGGCGCAGACGGCGGTGCCATGTCTCCTACGGCTCCTACGATGGATATGGATATGGAAACGCCTGACCATGCGACTGCCACACCGGCAGACGGACCAGATGGCACCGACGGCGGTGCGATGACTTCGACTCCTACGGCTCCTACGGTGGATGTGGATATGGAAACGCTTGAACTTGACCATGTGACTGCCACACCGGCAAACGGACCAGATGGCACAGACGGCGGCGCCAAAACTCCCACGGCTACAGTGGATCCAGATCCGGAAAAGCCTGAGCATGTGACCACTCCGGCTGCGGCAGACGTGCAACATGAATCACATGGGCCAGTGCATAGCCCAGATGGCACCAACGGCGGTGCCGGTACTGTGGATCTGGAAAAAGCGGACAAAGCTGCACCGGATGCTTGCAGTAATCCTGCACATGTGTCACATGTAGTGAATGCGACTGCGTCAGCAAGGTTTGTTGATGCAGACACGGCCGTCAGAGGCTTGTCGCGTACCAGGCGGGTGGTCCACACACTCCCGGAGTGCTTCGACTTCTTCCGCCATGCTGTGGAAGAAGTTCTGGACTCAACACACATGGATCGTGGAACCAGTGAGAACTTTGCAGTTATTGATCCCGAAGACTTGGCTGCAAAAATTTCTGGGCTGACGATGTCATCTGCTTACTCGGGCGTGGGTGCTCCAGAAGCCGCACTGAGGCTTTTGCACCATGAGATGCAAACCACTTGCAAGCTCCCCCCGCCCCAGATCCTCTTCCAGGTCGAAGTGGACGATGCTTGCAGAAAGGAGTTACTGCTTGCTCATGGCTGTGCTGGTCGTGGTGCTGACGGCACCAGCTCCAGTGAGTGTTTGTTTGGTGACTTGAATGATTTCTGGTGTGAAGGGTTGAAGGATGTGATTGATCAGCTGCATAAATCACCGGACCTTGCCCTCGAAATCCTTGCACCTGCAGTGGCCAAAGGCACGGCCACGAAAGCTTGCTCCTATTGCTATCGTCACAAGAAGCATTGCTATTTGACAATGGCTAAGCTTCATGTAGCAGGGACTTCATGCATAGCGTATTCTTCGATGGGCAAACAGGGCGGCGTCAAAGATGCATCCATATTGCCGTTTTTGGCATGGGTTTCACAGCGTCTGCAGCTGGAAGAGCCTATGATCTGTCACGAGAACTCGACTCGCTTTCCGATCGACTTGCTGGTGCGATTCCTGGGGCATAAATATGTCGTTATGTCGGTGGACTCCAATGCGGCAGCGTTTGGTGGGGCGGCGAACCGCGAGCGAAAGTACACTTGGTCGTATCATCGCGGCAAGTGTCAACACCTCTTCACGCCCGGTCCTTTAGGCATGTTCGTGAGCCGCTTCCACCGACAATGCGCCATGAGCTTCCGAGAATACTTTTGCTTGCACCTGTGCTCCAAGGACGAGGCAGGACCGTCTCTCTATATCGACTCTCGACTCTAGACTCTATGTACTCTATCCCGCCCGGCCATCACTCCACGCCGACGACTGCCCCCCTGTACCTGTACAGACATAACACCCTCTCTCCCAGCCACATCCCTCTCTCCCCCTCTCAACTCTCAACTCTCTCTGACTCTCTGGATCTGGCCAGTCCATTCCACATCTCACCCTCTCGCTGTCATTGTGTGTGCATGTGATGTTGTGTGTGCAGTGCACGAGGGTTTCCGTTTATTTGTGTGCAATTTGTGTTCTCATTTCTCCGCGTTCTCTTGTGTTGCGTAGTGTGGGTGGGCGAGCGTATAGCGGATGTGGATGTGCGGGTCGGCCGGTGTGTATTGTCTACGGCCTTAGGTTGGTCCATCATTGGTTGGTAGAATGGTAGACTAGTATAGTCGACTAGTGTACTATAGTAGATTGTGCATGTGACACATGTGATGTTTCATATGAGTATGTGATTGCCCACGCCACACACACATGCACACACGACTGACACACAACGAATTTGACACATGACTTTTGTGAACGAGTCAGTGAATGAGTGAGTGAGTCAGAGAGTCAGGGAGTGAGTGGGTGAGTAAGTCAGTGAGCGGGTCTGAGTGAGTGTATACTGTATACCAGTATTCTAATAGACCAGACAAGTGATAGCAGCGTGTTCGCATGTACCTGTGTGGGTTCGTGGTGCAGGCTGAGCTGAAGTCGGATTTGACGTGGGCAATCAATCGACCAAGCAGCCAGTGGACGCTCTCTCACGGTGGTGGATCTGTGAATTCATCTCTGGATGGTGTAGATTTGTTTGAAGATGGTGCCAAGACCTTTGAGAGGGGCTTGAACGCTTTCGAAACGACCTCTTTGGCAGCATATCGTGAACGCTGGCCAGGAGCGGCGTTCTCACTGA